ACATCCCATTTTCATGTCCATGGTGAAACCAGTCTTTCATGGAATCACATGAGTTGATTTTCATGCTTGGCTTAGTTGTGGACAACAGACTCCAAACCGCTACAGGCGTTTGCTCTTTCGAGTGACAAAATTGTGCATTTTCGGAGCTTGAGCGCTTGTTTGAGCCTTTGGCCATTGAAGTGTCGGGGCCTCAATCTTGTAGCTTGCTGCTTCCTGCGGCGATGGGTGACTTGCGCTTTGACTTTGACATGGACCAGCCGGCTCAGCCTAGTGCGCCGGCTTCGGCTGAGCCGCCGACAAAAAGTGGCTGCGCCAACCCTTGTCAGTGTTGTTTCCAAGAGGAACGAGTCTCTGGCAGTCGCTACGGGGTTCAATGCAAACGTGGATTGAACAATGTGACGAATCAGGAAAAGAAAGAGGGTCTCCGTGACCCAGAAAGGAAGAAGCGATTTGAGCAGGTTCGAAAGGAGGCAGGACCCGCCCTTCATGCGCTCATCCTGGCTTACCTCAGGACTTGTGACCCTTCATCTGGCAGAGGCAAGTCGCGAGTATTGATGCGATGACGGTCTTGGAACGCTGGGAGAGGGAGGACCACAACAGCAGCGGACAGAGGCTGTTGTTGATGCCCCTCTCCAGGTGGCTGCGCGAAGCCCAAACAGATAGAGGGCTCTCCGCCTCGGATGCTCAGAGTCAATGGGACCAAAAGCAGAAGCAGCATGAGATGGGCAAATTGGACGAGAAGCAGTGGCGCATGGAGGGCAAGACCCTCTGGTTGGCCATGCCTCACGAAGAATATGTTGACATTGGGCAGTCCGACGTCAATCTTGGGTTTGTCAGAGATTCCTCCCAAGCTTTGTTACGCTTCCATGCCAGCTCCCAGCACTCCAAGAACGAAGCGGCCGGTGAGTGGGACAGAGGAAGCGCCAGACTCCACCGAGAAGCAGGCCATGCCGGATTCCAAGAAGAGGCCCGGGAAGTTTGGTGTGAGCGGTGAGGTTTTGAACACATGTGATGTCTGGCATGATTGTTGTTCATAGTCTTAAACCCTTAATTCTTGTCAAACCTGAACCCCAACATCCTGAGCTCTGAAACCCTGTAAACCCTGAGAACGAAACTCCTGAACTCCTACCCCTATCCTGCTAGCCTTAAACCACGAACCCAAAGCTCATTGTTCAGGCGCCGATCATATGACGTGATTTCCGCAAAGAACAAGCTGCAGGACAAGATCAACGCTGACTTCAACGGCTTTCGCTCGTCTTGCGAGAAGGTGCAGAATGAAGCCCAAGCCGCCCTGAGCAACATTGACGTCGACAAAAATGAGATGGCGTCCTTCAGGTCCTACCACAAGACGTTGAAGGATCGTCTGGAAGTGCTGCGCCTTGTTCTGACAGCTTCTTGGCGAGAGGCTGCTGAGAGCCACGCGAAGGAGGAGAAGATGCCCCAGCTACCTGACGCCGTGCGCTCTGTTGAGAACATTGTCAAAGGCGCGAGCTGCTGTGGGGGTTGAAGAATGCAGCCGCCCAGCAGGACAAGGGCAAGTGCAAGCAAATCGTTCAAGAGATCAAGGGCAGCGACCTCGTCAAGGACGTGAAGGCAGCTTTGCTGGATGTTGACTCGCTTCATGATGAAGCCTGGTGGCCGTATGATCTCAAAGATGCTTGCTTGGAGTTTGTCTTGTGCCGCCAGCTGCGTGCCGGCTGGAATCGATTGGATGTGACCCCTGCAGACATCGAGAACTTGAAGCCGTGCGAAGTCTTCAGGACTCATGTCTTCAGTGCGTTCAACAAGGCCATGACAGAGGATGCTGTGAAGTCAGTTGGCATTCTCTTGAAGGAAGTTGTGCAGCATCTCCAGAACATCCGCAATTCAGTGTCTCGCGCTTCGGCTGACTTGACAAAAGCTTTGCAGGCCAAGCAACGGCGCGCGGAGAATGAGCAAAAGGCGCAGCAGAAGAAAGCAGAGAAGCAGGCTGAGAAGAAAGCTAAGGAGCTCAGCGAAGCCCTCAAGAAAGGGAATGCCGGCAATAAGGTTTGCTCCCTGCTGCTTGAAGATGATGTTCGTGCGAAGCTTAAGGGCATCAAGATCTTTGAAGTAGCAAATATGGGACTTTTGGAGCGATGCGCCTCACTTGCAAACAGGTATGAGCGGCCAAGCTTTTGCTAGCAAAACCTAGCCTACAACCCCGGAAGTTGCATGATGTTGGCGTCTCACCGGCTCAGCGGTTGGTAGCTGTAAATTACATGCAGTTTGGTTGCTGCGAGCCGCCACAAAATCATCATGCATCAAAACTGCTCGGCTGAACAGGCTGAACTTTGGACAAGCTCCACTGCGAATGGACTTAAGCCATTCCAGAGCTCAGCAAAAGTGAACATTTTGGCCACGCAAGCTACAACCAACCAGGCTACATCAACGACATCATTGGGCAAACTTGTGTCAATCAACTGATTCAATCAACTTGAGCGAAAACACAAAGTGGCCAACCCCATGAAGCGGATACGTGAAATCCACTTCGACTTGAAACAAGACTGTGGCCTACTTGTCCGACTCCTCCGCTTCGGGAAGGTCACGCAAAAATTTCCAGAGGCTCAACAACTGGGAAGCATCTGGGTTGGAGATTCGCGCCTGATGCTCTTTAATCAGACGGCAAACATTTGCTTTGGCCGATTTGGACTCAGTATCGGGGACGCTCAGCCGCAAGCCAGTGCACGGGGAACCATCCAAAACCCTCTCCACCACAAGCACTCCGCTTGGAATGTAGATCACGTCGCCTTCATCAACAATGGCAGTCTCGAACAGGCCATCCTTCTGCAGCATGGACTTCACGATATCATTCTTTGAGCTGAGCACCTCCGCCATGAAGTTGATGATGGTGTAGGCTTCAGACCAATTGCCTTTTTTCTGGCTCAGGACATCATCTGGCAGGAACCGCCACAAGTCATCGAAGTTGGCAATGGTGATGGAGCGCTTGCCTCGAAAACCAGCTCGCAAAGTTCCTACGGCTTGGTATTCTGCGCCAACATAGGTCATGGTGCCCAGGAAGCCAAACAAGGAGATTCCTTTGAACTGGGAATTCTTCCTGGCCTTCTCAAACACAGACTCATCAACCCACGGTGGCATGTAGGCAGTCAAGGTGTCCATGACATCGTTGAAGACGGCCGCGTCCAACTTCTGTTGTAGAGGTGCCTGGCAGCGCCCTCCGCCATTGGCGCAGGTGGGCGAGTTCGGGAATTGCGCTTGGAAGATCTGGAGCAAGGATGCCAAGCTGCTCTTGCTTTTGAAGAGCTCAATCCAGTCGTTGGCTTTCTGGATAACATAGGCGCCCGGACCAGTGGCTTGGGCGCAGTCCTTGGAGGCACAAGCCGTGCGCCAGGCATCATCGCCTTGGTTGTCATGGCATCATGTGCTGATCATGTGCTTTAGACGATTTACATGTGCTGAACAAGCTTGCTCGACTTTCCTTGGCAGCAGCACACCCTCTCGCCCCCAAGTAGGGTTTTCTTTATAGTCTCCAGTCTTGCCCCCAAATAGGCTTGCGTCTTGCGCTAGTTCAAATATTCAAGCCCTCAACCCATCAAGTCCCATCGCATGCCCACCTAAGCCGCTCATGCCAGCTACTTGGAGGCGCAGGGAGATTTAGTTGATGGCTCTGGCTTTGTCATAGCAACACAGGTCATTATGGACAATATGTGGGTCGCAGTCCTGGGATCCAGAGTTTGCTACTAAATCTCCTGAGCTGCCAAGCGCCAGACTTTGCGCCACCCGTGGCCCGAAAGGGCAGGCGCTTCCGTGCCAGATCATACTTGTGCCGCCAATGGCTTTCAACGCTAGGTCAGTGTGGCCAGTTTGAATCATACTTTGCCAGGCCAATATGTCGGTCATTGTCCTGGGATCCAGAATTTGCTTTCCCGAGCGGCCAAGCACCAGACATCTGCGCCACCCGTGGCCCGAAATGGCAGGCGCTTCCCTTAGGCCCTTAGGGTTTAGGTCCTCCATACTCCAGGCCCCTAGGGGTAAGGTTACGGTTGAGCCCCCAAGTTCAGATCATACTTGTGCCACCAATCGTGCCGATCGCCAATGACTCTGACAGCTTGTCGGCCTCTAAGATGAAGCGCATTCCGCGCCATGGCAACTTCATTTTCACAACCAGCATACGTTTCCAGTGTGAGGGGAGTTGGCAGTTGGCAGCTACGGGGGCGGCCATGTTTCAGATGCAAACAAACAAACCTGAAGCCTTGCTTGCTCAAGCTAAACCTGAACCTTAAACTTAAACCCTGAAACCTACACCTATGAATCCTAAACCCTAAGACCTAACCCGAAGCCCTAAAAGCTAAACCATGAAGCACTACAAACCTTAACCTTAACCCCTAAACCGCCTGGGGCTCAAACTCAAACCATTTTGGTTCAAGTCAACGCGGCTCAATCGAAGATCCACTTCTCAGGGGCTTTTTGGATGCTCCAGTTTGAAGGTATTTTGCGCAAGAAAGTTACACCCACCGGCGACAGTTACTATATGTAGCTTTCCCATCTCCTTCTCAAGGCCTTGATGAGGTTGGATCTCAGGCGCAGACCAAGGGACGAGAATGCGCATGCGGAGGACTTAACAAACGAACGGTTCCTGGA